TAGGAGGATTGTGAGCCTGAGGTCAGCCTAGGCTGCAAAGAAACAAACAAACTGTAATAACAGAAGTAAATTCTTCATTAACATGTAACTCAACCACAATAAAACTGACAAATTTAATTGTCCTGTTTGATGATTTCTGACAAATGTATACAACTATATTACCACCACTCTAACCAGAACACAGAATATTTCAGTGACTCCAGAAAGATTCCTTGGGCTTTGCAGAAGTCAACTCAGTAAGATCTAAATAATTGGACAAACATATGACATCCATAAATTGGAATCCATACGGATAATTAAGATTTCAGTCTCTGCCAAGTATATAGGGTTAAAACAGTTCTACTAAAACTACACTTGTTTTTTGTTGTTGTTGGTATAAATTGCCTACCTGATTTTAAATTTATATTGCAATACTTAGGGCCAAGGATAACTAAAGAAATCTTTCAAAGGAAAAAATCTGAGGTGTTAAATTACTCAATTTCAAGTCTTTATTAAAAAGCTAGAGAACTAAATATCCTTCTAAGAGAAAACAAAAGAAAGCCAACTTTTACCTCAAATCTTATCCAAAAGTAACTAAAAAATGGATGATAGATTTAAATGTAAAACTAACATTACAAAATTTCTAAAAGAATATACTGTATAGAAAAACATCAGTATCTTAGGACAGTCAAAAGTTTCTTTGAAAAGATGCAATAGCATGAAGTTCAAACTACAAAAAGATAAACTGGATTTCATCAATGTAAAATTTTTGTTCTTTAAAAAACACAGTTCAGAAAATGAAAAGAAGCCAGGTGTGGTGGTGCATGCCTGTAATCCCAGTCCTCTGGGAGGCTGAGAACAGAGGATGGAGAGGCTCATCAGAACTGCATAGCAACATCCTGTCTCAAAAAAACCAACAACCCCAAAACAATAAATGGATAAATAAAAAAATAAATATTGATAAATAACAAATTATTAATCCAGACTATAAAAATATCTGAAAAAATTAGTAAGAAAATATAATATACTCAGAAAAATTGATAAAATATGTCATGTGGCAGAATACAGACAAGAAAACGAAAATGCTAACAATTATTTAAAGAGATTTACAATTCACAGTAACAAAAATGATGAACAAGTAAAATAGCAGCATCTATCACTTTACTCCTATTGATGTACAAACTATACTGTGAGACAGTGCTGTGGGTAGCAAGGGCATGGGAAGACTTCGAAAACTGAGACCTAAAATTCTCAAGCCTGGTGCAAGAATACCTGGTTATAGTTACTGTTGGAATTCTGGGTCCCTTGTGGAGAGTGTGAAAAGGGCCACTGAAGGAGGGGGGGCGGGGATCACACTGCAGAGGAGCACTTAGGGGTCATTAGAGGTCAGACAAAGGAGAAACAGCCTCATGGAAAGGTTTTTAAATTCTGAAGTCCAGGAGACAGAAGCAGTGTACACCATGTGGCAGAGCCATCAGCTCTCCCGTCCATATTGTGCAGCACACTTGCATGTCCTTCTTGCCAGCCCTTTGCTGCACAGGACTCACAGCTGGAACCAGAGGGACTCTCAGTGCCCTTGCTGCACCCTGAGCACAGATCAGAAATTGCTCTAATATCTAATGGGAAAATAATAAAAGAGGAGAACAAGTTGTTAGAATGATAAATAAATGATAAAAGACCTTTGTAAGAAATAAACCCATGACCATGTCCTTTCAGAACTTTAAACTGTTGCTTGAAATTGGTGATGATGACAAGAGTGTCTTAAATCCCTTGCATCCTTCTAGGATGCCTCCTAGTATGCGGACCTAACTCAGTCCTGCATCAGGTCTTCCTAAGGGTCAGGGAGCCTATAGGGAAGGTGAAACCACAGCTCAGGGGGGCCCATGTATTGTGTAGGGAGCTTGAGACTGTCTTAGGTTCTTGGTATCCTGAACAAAGCATTGAGCGGGACACTCAGAAGTAGAGGTGAAAGCATGGATTTATTGTCCAAGATCCACTCTTCAGGGTAGGTTGGGCCAGTGAAAGAGCTCATGGTTCAGAAGAAGCCAGATGTCAAAGTCTATATGTAGTTTTTACAAGGAGGTTGTAGGACTTTGAACTGGTAAGACAGTTTACTCCAATACAGGATAAGTATCCTTTCTGTTGGAGGAGGGATTGTCCTTATGTGGACCTTGGAGGAACTATCATGGCAGCCAAAGCCTATAGGAAGAGGGCATCAAACCACAATGTAAATGAGATTGTACTTAATTAGGATTGAGGTGAGTCACTTTCAGCTGTTTAGGATATTCTGTAGTGCATGCATCCCCATGTACAGCTTAGTTTTTAGAGGTAGGTGAATTTTGTGTTTTTTTAGAGAGCTCATCCTGGGTTCTCCAGAAGCTTGTGGCACATGAGCCCTCTTGTATGTACTTGTTGTGGTCCAGCTGCTAGAACTGAACACTCTCTGTGGTTTTGGGGGTTCCAGCTTCCTCTTTTTCCTCTAACCTTCAGACTCCATCCTTCCAGGAATTTCTCCTCTCTACTTCCTGCCTCACACAGACTCTAATCCTGCCCTGCTGCAGCTGTGGACATCCCAGGTGCCAGTGCCTCCCTGCTTCATGTCCTGCAGCCTAAGGCCTGACTCAGGCTCAAGGGGAGGCCCACTGGCCAAGAGATCTTGGAAACATGCAGGACCCCACAAGAAAGGGAGCATGGAGGAGGGGCAGGCTAATGTTATTCTCAGGATTCATCTTGGTTGGGAGAGGCCCTGGGCAAGGCCAAAAAATCTGACCCCTAGTGACAGCCTGTAATGAGGAGTCTAGTGTCACTCCAGAGCTGCAAGATGTCAGTGTTCTGCTGAAACTTGTCACCTGTGTCCCTTTTAATTTGTCAGGAGCTGGCTGGTTACCAGTATGTCACTGAAGCTCTAAGAGGACCCAAGGTGGCACAGGAGTCAGATCTGCTGTTCCAGGGCGAGGCTCCCACACTGTAACAACTCTTCTTTCTCATCTCTAAAAGGGAATCCTTACTTTTCTGGAGTAATGAGGGCCAGAAAAAGGATAGACTTAACCCATGGTCCCTCAGATATTACGTGATGGTGGACAAACAAGCCTTATTATTTTTCCTTTAATGTGCTGTAACTCAATTTCTAATTTTATCTCTATTCCATCCTTCATTTGGCTCCCAGAGAGTTATCTTATTCATTTTCTAAAAACATTTTCTGTAATTGAGTGCTTATTTTGGCTGGCAATGAAAGGGTTTAAGGGTATAGCATATCTTCTGAGCAGAATTCTCCAGGCTCTGCTAATGTTAGAACACACTTGGAATAGGACTATGGGACACTGTCCATCAGTTCAAACTCATGAACTGCAAAAGTAAAAGGACTTTACATGGGGTCTTAGCAATTACAATTTACAAGACATGAGTTTAGATAGCACTGAATCAGTGAAGACATTGGCTGTGTCTGATAAAATAAAAGAGTATATAAACAGAATGTACCATCTATAAAATGAGAATCCTCTATTCTTCTCATGTATATCTCTAATTTCTAGGCACAAGGCACAAGTGTAACTGTCTTACTGTTACTGAATTAGAAGGTTCTTCTCCTACACCAGTCCTTGGGAAATGAATAATCAGTTCTGGAAGCAGGCAGGAAAGTTTATTCAATAGCCAATACTCACATTTTAAAGGCCCTTTTCCCCCAGCATTTCTAGGGTTTGGATTTTCAGTAGGAGTTAGATATTATGGAACCTTTAGTGGGAAGGGTAGATGATTGTCAGAAACCAGGATGCCCCCTTTTTTCTTCCCTTATTTAGTCATGGATGGATCTAGTACAGAGTGGGTGCATTTTGTTATCATTGTAATCTCATTCTCTGTATTATTTCATTTTTAACTTTTATGATCTCAAGATGGTTTGGAGTGTCAGCATGCCTATCCAAAACAATCAAGCTATCTGGAGCTTCCCCATGCTCCATGGTAGGCAGTCGGAATATGTGGTTATCAACACCTGGCTTTACCTTCTGAAAGCAAGAGGAATCTAACTGGCAGAGCAACAAGGTATAAGTAGTTTTGGGGTTCAGTACTGTGATACTATGTTTTTCAGATGACTACAGGCAAGGAAGTGAAGGCAAGATAACCAGGCAACAGTAGGAATTCTGAATAAGCACTGCTTCTTGAAAAGCTCTTTCAATACTGTTTTCATCACACTTTCTTATTTTATTTTCACAAGTCCAAGAAGTAGAAAATGTATCTGTAACCAGGATCTTTTGGGGGAAGATCTGTAACCAGGGAAAAGGTATCTGTAACCAGGGAAAAGGTATCTGTAACCAGGGGAACTTGTCAGTTACACAATTGCAGGAGACCAGCTTGAAACCACGCTGGGCAGGCTATAAAATATTATTGAATTGGCTTATGAATTAGCTATTGATTAAAATTATGAGTCTGTCCTAGGCTTATGTGACTTGCTAGATGAGCCTTCGGCTGGAATTTGGAAACAAAACTCCCTATGCCAATGGTCAAAATTGAGATCTTAATGGTCAGTGATACTGTGGTGTCTCTGAAAGCACAATGACACTGCAGCTGAGGATTTATGACTCTTGTGCAGCCATTCTCCCAGATCAAACATTAAAGATAACATGGGCTACTCGATCATTACAACCGATCTTTTGCAAGAATGCATTGCTCCTTCCTTTTTACAAGCCTGGCTTTCTTTAGCACCTTAGTCCCTAGTCCCACTATTCCCTACATCTGCCTTTACACCCGCTGCTATGTTGTGTAATCAATAAATACTGAGTAGTCTGAGCCTCGTGGTCTTAGGATTGGAAGAGCTTAGATCAGTTCCTAGACCCTCGTCTATTAAAAATTTTGTCTTTTGTATTATTCTTTATCTTTGTCATACCCTCAGTCAAGTGGTTGGGCAGCCCCTGATGCACAATGGATCCAGGATGCTAGAATTATGGGGACAGAGAACAAATAAGACTAGTGCTTCTGTTGCTCTCCATGTGAGTCCCTATAAACTAGACTAACAGAAGACACATAACAAGAGAGCACCAAACAGAAATTTATTAGTATGCCCATCAGATATACACAGGAGAATACTCAAGGGATAAGTAATGCAAAGAAGTGTTAGAAATTGGGCTACAGAGCATTTTAACAAAAGAAAATACATTGATAGAGAGGAGACAAGGCAAAAAAAGGACTTTGTGTTTCTAGGATGACAAATTGTGGGAGGGCAAATATATAGGAAAGCTAATGGTAGGTAAAGCCTGCTGTTTACAAGGTTTGTAATGAAGTTTCCTCTGATCCTCACTCCAAGCTGGAGTCTCTGGTGATTATCATCTGTCCTTTCTGAAATGTGGGAAATCTTTATAAATTCTCCTAAGTCTCTTTGGGCAAATATGGAGACCCCAACATGCCTCTGATGTCCAGAAACACCTCTAGCTTTATTCCTCCTGTTCTTACAGAGATGTCATCAGAGGACTTCAACAATATCAGCAAACCTCAATTTTATATCAGCAACAAATTATTGTAATATTTAGTGACTTTGGACTTCAGTCATCAATACTAATGCTGTTTGTCCTTTGGTTGACTTCACTATGGTCCTGTCATTAACCCACTCATGTATAACCATGCAAAACTGATTGATTTTAGTTTTCATGATACACTTACTATTGGGTTAAGTACTATTTTGCCATATCTGAGTCATAACAAAGACTGCTGACAATCATTCCTGCAAATACTATTTACTAAAATTTAAATATATTTCAAAACAGGTGGCTGTAGCACAATCCAGAAAATACCAACTTCTCTGTCTTTTCCAGAACTAAGTCCCCTATGAAAATTAATTATTTAATCACATTCCACTTTCCATTTGAAGCATCTCTTGGTAAACTGAGTTTTTCTCTTCTCTCACATGTTACTTGGTGATTTCCAGGGAAGCTCACTAGGTTTAGCAGACTCTATGTCCACTCTTTGCAGTGGACATTATTAATGAATATGTCAGTGGTTGAGAAGCCACTGCTATTTGGATTTTCCTGCTCTTTTCTGGAGTGTCTTTCATTTCTCACACATGAGTCTAAATGGCTGAAAAAAAGGTGAAGGAATACAGAGCTCTTAGGCTCAAGGTTACCCAAATCATCAACCAATGACTACCAGAAATCATAGAACTGAACCCAGTGGAGAGAGATTCAGAGGATAATGTCAGATTGTCACATTATCTTGCTTTCCTCTCAGTCAGACTGACCATCTGTGGTATTCTTACAGTCTTTATAGCCTTTAATTCAGTATAGATTTCTTAAATGTCTTCTAAAAGTCCAGCCCTGTTCTAGGTACTGAAGAAATAGTAGTGAAGAAAACTGACCAAATTTTTGCCTTTATGGGCTCTACACATTTTCTGTCGGCTTAAAATAAGGAGACTTTGCTTCTATGCTTACTCACTGCATGAAGGCAGGAACAAAGGTCCATATTGATAAACCTGGAAATAGGGTTGCAGAGTGTCAGAGAAGGAAGCCTTGGGGAAGGTGAAGATGTGGGAGCCACCAGTCATGTTGTAAAAGGACACAGCTCCAGCCTCATAGTCCAGAACAGCCCCCACCACCAGGGGCCGCTCATGCAGCTTAAGGGCAGTGTGGGGAGAGGTCAGTGCTACATAGCCATTCTCTGTACACAGCTGGATGGCCCAGAATCCAAACTCAGGCTTCTGCTTCATGCTGAGGCCTCTCTCTACATTATCCATGCAGACTCCCACATCCCAAGGTGTTCCTTCTCCAACATCCACTTTGAAGTAATGTTTTCCTGAGGTGAAGCCCTCACAGCCCAGCACACAGGGGAAGGTGGTAAATCTCCTAGAAGAAAATTCAAGATTCTGTTGGCTGCATCCATAAGATACTTGTGTCTGATCCTTAGACAGAAATAGGTGAGGATGAGCTGTATTTGGATCCAGAGCCACGCCAACTGCAAAAACCAACCAGCATGAAGCAAAGACACAAGCAATGAAAATCATGTGGATTTTGGTCACTGAGAACACAATTTAGTAAAAACCAGCCCATGTCCAAATTCAATCATTTGTTTCTTACTAGGTATATGAGCTAGGTATAAAGTGAAAATTATCATATGTGTTGCAGAGAATGGTGAGGGGAATCCAGTGAGCTAATGTTTCCCTTGTGTTTAGCAAAATTCTTTGGACACAGTAAACTCCCAATATGGTGCCATAACAATAATATCCTCCATGCCTTTGTGTTCATCATCCCCATTTAATATCTCAGAGACACCAAGGACCAGAGTGAAGATGGTTCCTGTTCTGTCCAAAGCCATTCCTCTGCCCTGTAAACCTTCAGAAATCAGGGAACAGAGGAGCTGAAGGGAGCCCTTCCTTATCTCCATTTCACAACCACAAAGACATGCAAGAAGTGTGTGCAAAACAGTTTAACTGAAAAATCAAATTTTCAACATACATCTACATTCATGTATACATATTGTACATGTATAACATTGTATGTATATTTAACATGAGTGTTTATAATACAAAATATATGTTCAACATTTTATATGTCTATATAACTAAAAGCCAATTTTTTGTTTCGCTCTGTTTTTTTGGATACATAATCTCACTGTGTAGCCCAGGCTGACCTCAATCTTGTGATCCTCTTTCCTTAGTCTCCTTAGTGGTGGGACTACAGGCCTGTGTCATCAAAATTGGCTAAAAGGCAGTCTTTTCCATATTAATATACGTTATTTGTAATGTATAGCATATAATACACTATATCAAAGGCATGTAATCCTTCTGTATTACAGATATATGAAAGTTTGGCTCAATATATTGCATATTGTCAAAGGTACACATTTCTCTGACTTCATTTATAAATAAAAAGACCGGTTGGATGGTTTTGTTATCAACAAAACAGAGTCAAGCTTTGCTGCAATCAGAATGTGTCACAACAGAAATAGTGGAGCACTGGGTAAGTAAAAGAACAAGAATGTGTTTATGAAACTTTATTAAAATGTATGGCCTCACTTTCTACATGAGCAGGTCTGATGTGTAAGGATCTCTCCACCTACCTAACAACTGTCACCACCATCACCACAGATATGATTCTAATGCTCTCAGACTACAATTGGTAGCTAAATTTTCTTTACCTACTTTTATGATGTTAGAATGCCTCTTTGCTCAAAGGGTTATATTTATGTTAACTACTTCACATAACCATCTCTTATCTGCCAAGGTGACTGAAGCACAATAAAGATTTGCATATTACCTTCAAGCTAGGGTGTAAAATCTGTATGTTATGTGTAGTGCACATAGAATGTGTATTTATAAATTCCATTTATCCTGAGAACACAACTGGGGTTTACAATTAGAAAATAAATTGCCAAATCATACTATGGGATCACAGGAAAGAAACCACAGGGTGCTATCAATGAATACAATAAACTCAGGAATAAAAGTCAATGCATGTTGATGACTGAGCTCCTTGGAAACAAGTCACAAACTTCAAAGGAAAATATATCTACCCTAAATTTGAAGCTTTATCAAAAATAGAATGAAAGTGTACAACACCACTTGCATACCACAAGAAGATATTGTATATAATAAGCTTGCAGGAATCAATAAAAAAGAACCCAATAAAAATTCCTAACACACAGAAAATCAGGAATAAAACACAGAAGCTTGATGGCCTGATATCCATAGCAAGCAAATTTCAATCAACTAGTGCAATTGAAGAAACTGAAAATAAGTGCAAAATGAAAGGTCAATTCAAATCCATCAGAGAGGCAAAAATTAGAAATTATACATAGCATGGGCTGGGGATTTAGCTCAGTGGCACCATGCCTGCCTTGCAAGCACAAGGTCCTGAGTTCAATCTCCAGTACTGGAAAAAAAGAAATTATACACAGCAATAAGGGATATGTAGATCAGTGGGAGTTCTACCGCTACTGGAGTACAAAGAGGGACAATCTCATGCTCCATGGGGTCTAGGAGCATTAAGATGTCCATCCAAAACATTAGCACTTTCACTTCAAGGTCCTGTTTTCTAAAGTACATCTCCTCCTTGCAGGGATGAAGACAGAATCATGTGACCAAAGCACTGCCTATTCTGCAGCCATAGGTAGACTCAAAGTATGTGGGATAAAGCAGGAATTCAAAGAACCTCACACAATGCAGTTCATATTTTGTCACAGAGGAGACAGACTCTAGAGAACCTATCTCTGCAATGTTGGTGTTCACATTCTTGTTTTAGTTTATGTTTTGTGTGTTTGTCTTTGTTTTTTCAGGATTCATGGCTGAACATAACTGTTTTCCCTTATAAACATTTATATCAACTTAAAAAAACCTAGAATTTAAATACTTCCTGGCACATCACATACGAATCTGTCCGTACTACTTGGCATCTGTCAACTAAAACATTACAGATTTTCTGACATTCAGTCTTCCTTTTGAAAATAAAATCAATGAAGTAATTAAACTGTGATCAGTACCAATTACATTATGCATAATTGTGGCAGAGCTTAAGGTATAGCACCAACACTGCATTTTATATTTCAGATCATTTTTTCCCCTGACAGCCACTTTAGCAGGAGAGAAACTTGCCTGTCTCCATGAGAGCGGGGTCTCTGGCTTTGTGTATTCTTTTCAGTGCTTGTAGAGTGGAAATGCTGCTCTTATATGACCATTACTTGGCACTGGCAGCAATCCTCTGCTTTCAGTCTCAGAAATGATTGTTCCCAATTTACTATATTCTCTCTGAACCTAGATTTCATCACACTGTTCCTAGTGGTAATTTCAAATACTAACTTCCATGTATAGGAAAAATTCAAATAGAACAAAAGTAAGTAATTCCTAAAAGACTAGTGACTTTCCCACCATGCTTATACATGTGTCAAAGTAAGACATACACTTTTATTGTCTGTAAAACATTATTTTCTCTAAATATAGTGATTTCTATACAACAAATTAAGGAGAAAAGTGTTTTTAAATTAAGACACACTTATGTATTTTACAACCTACACAATAGCATGTTTCACAAAGAAAATAAAAGTGAACATGTGAAAACTATCAGAAACATTGTGATCGTTAATCTTGATTTGCCAACTTTGATCAATTAAGAATTGTCCAGTAAATTAGTAAAGCATCCTCCTGGGTGTGTCTGGGTGGGCCATGGAGGTGTGGCGTCAGGTACTATACGATCCCTGGCCCTTTCCACTCTGGTGCTGTCCACCTGCTCTGGTCCCTGGCTGGCATGAACTAAGCTTTACTCCTCCCACCATGTCCCTCTGACAACATGCTTCTGCCCTGGAACCACCTGATTATGTACTATATCTCCTAAAACTTTAAGCTAAGTTAAACCTTTTCCCCTTTAAGTTGTTGGTGTTGGGTATTGTGTCCAGCACCAGGAAAGCTGACTAATACAAACATCCACCTTCATAAGAACTTCATATGAATAATCCATGAAAGAGAAATTAAATATTAAGAATAGTTTAATTTTATATCACTGATAATCTCAGGTTCAGTGATATAATTTAAAGAAAGCTATCAACTAAAATAACTGAAACTCATGTATTCAGAGTATTTAGCCATCACTAAGAATCAGGAACTACAAAACACAGAAAAAAGAAAAAAAAAACCCTGCAAAATCAACCTAACTGGTTTGTTTCCAAGTGGTGTGCGTATTTATATGTGTGTGTGTAAAATGTATACCTAGAAAAAGCCAGTGATTTTACTAACAAACTTTTAGAATTGTAGTCCAAAATTTTCTATTATATATCACTACATGCAAAAAACAATGAAAAAAAAGGAAAGAAACTTGCATTATATGGTAAACTATGAGCATTTGATATTTGAAGCTCTATGTATATCTTCTGTCAAGATGTAAATAAATGCAGCTACAAGCACTAAGCATGAAGCACAGTTTTAAGTGTGCATTCCCTTGTGAAATTCCTCCTAAGTGTGCACAGGGGCTGAGAATTCCTTCTGAGCAACAGAACATGGAAAAGATGATAAGAAGTAACTCTTGTAATTAAGTTTCACCATTTACACACCATCTTGTCAGCAGAGTTGCTATGGAGACTCACTCTGCTGGCAAAATTGGCCATGTGGGACACCTACCTGCAAGAAGCTGATGGGAGGTTTCTGGAAGCTGAGAGCAACCCACAGCCACAGTCAGCAAGAAGCCAGGGCCCCACGTACTGCAACCCAAGGGGAATGAATGCTGCCAGTAACCTAAGTGAGTGTGGGAGGGGACCTTCCCCAGGTGAGTGTCCAAATGAGAACACAGACTGGCCACATCTTCACTGCACCCTCCAGTGATTCTAAGCAGAGGTCACCCCAAGCTATGCCCAGATTCCTGACTCCCAAAGACTGTGAGATAATATATCTGTACTGTTTAAGCCATATATTTTGGTAATTTGTTGGTGGCAATATATAACTCATGCAGCCACCAAATCATTTCAAGTTAAGCAGTCAAAAGCCAAACGTTTCCATTTTATAGGTTTTTAAAAGAATTCATAACTAGATCAAACTCAGGATCTTGTGCTTGAGAGGCAGGCGGCAGAACCACTGAGCTAAATCCCCGGCCCAACAAATTTTATGGGTTTTTTTTGTTTTGTTTTTTGGTACTGTATATCGAACTCTGGTCCTTGCACTTGCGCAGCAGGCAGCAAAACCACTGAGCTAAATCCCTGGCAGAATTCATAGCTATTGATAAGAACTTTTAGAAATATAGCAAGCACTGATTAACAGAGTCTAGGGAGTAAGAAGCTTAGATTTTGGACCTTCAGTCATGGTTCTAATATTTACCTGTGTTATCTGAGTCAATTCACTAAAATCATTTGAGCCATAATCCACAATACTTACTAAACTTTCTCGAATTGCCTAACAAATCTGAAATATCACAAGTAAACTGTAAACAGATCTAATAAGATGCAGTGGCCCTAATCATGTGATAGAACTCTTATACAAGCTTACATATTTCATTTCTCCTCTGTCTCTGTCTCTGTCTGTCTATCTTTCTTTTTTCTTGCAGTACTGAGGATTGAACCCAGGAGGTTCTACCGGGAGGGAACACTTGAAGGACATCCTGATGAATAGTTTCTACCTTAATATAGTTAATTTTCATGACAACTCAATGACTTGGGTAAATGTGAATGCAATCATTTGTCAGCTGGCTGATCTGAATGACAGGAGTGTCCTAGGGTAACAAGATCACCACAAGGGACTGCAGGAGCTAGAAGGTCCCCAGGCATGACTGGGATGCAGCACAAACTCAGATATGCTGAATATCTGACTCCACAACATCTGCTCTAGGCTGCCTGGGACAGTAGTGCTGTGCTGACATGGTCCCTCCCATCACAGCACTGAAGGAGTCCTGATCTCTTATACCTTGATAGCATCTTAACATCATCTTCACATCCAAGTAAAGCTAAGCAACATCACACTCAGTCTGAATCTCCAAGGAAAAGACCTTAGGTGCTTCCAGCTTCACAGCAGAAGCCCTGGAAGAAGCAGAGGCAGAGACTCCTCAGTGGTCCTCTCCATTCAGCCCTGCCCAACCGGATCCTCCCTTCCTGTGTTCACACAGGACTCACCTGCTCAAGGTGCCTTTCACATCCTGCAAGGAATGAAAACAAAAGACGAGTGTGCTAGCATCAGGATTCCATAGGCTATAGCATGAGAGACACTTGTCTATAAACACAACTCTCAAAGAAATAAAGTGACTGCTTGAGATACTGCTGCAGAGTCGGGAGCAATGATCCTACCTGGCATCTGCCCACTTGGCAGGAGGCTGTAACCTCCCTGAAGAAACCCGGGGAAGAGCAATGGCCACAGTGGCATTAACCTGTGGCTGCTGGGGACGTGAGCAGGAGCTTTGCCCCACCTCCATCTGGCAAGACTGGTTCTCAGGGACCAAAGTGAGCCCATATAGAGATCATGTGTCACCAAGTTCCTTTACGGTGACTGCATACATAGCTTGTGAGACTAAGCCCCAGCAATGATGGCAGCTGGTATCACAGGGTGATGCAGCAGATGTGCTGCACTTCATCTAGAATGTGACCACCAGAATTAACAGCTCAAATAGTGGGCACCAGAATTAACAGCTCCAGCAGTTTATCTTAATTGGATGTATCCATTCATGCAGCTGTAAGAACCCACAGTATCTTTGGAGCAAGGCTTTTACCAGCAAATCAAGGAAAAGCTATCCTTGCTTTAGGCTGCCCCATTGTTACCATCTGCCACTAGAAGAGTATTTTAGGAGAAAGTCTGGCAGTCAGGGATCTGTGCCAAGGAAACAAAAAAGAAATGATTGCCAAAGTTATCCCATGGTTCCCTTTGGTTACTCTATTTTCACCCAGAGGAAGTAGGTTTTGTAATTCTCATAAGGCCAACATATCAAACAAAGGAGCCACCTTGATGATACTGATATACAAGGTAAAAGAAACATTAAAATCTCTACACTGATATCTGTGTTCAACAGAAAGCAGGCTTACCAATCTTCCTATGCTTCCTGATCATTTTACTCTTAACAGCTCCTTAGCAGAATCTTTTTTCCCTTCTCAAAGTCCACAGCCTTACCTCTAGTACTTTCTGGGCAGAGCTCTGACATTTTGCCTCCAGTTCTAGGATGTGGCTCTTGAGCCCATCACTCTTCTGCTGCAGGTTGGCCTCACTCTCCCTCAGTCTGCTCAGGATCTGCCCTTCTTCTTTCTCCAGCCTCCAGAGACAGGATTTCTCCTCCTCATGTAGAAATGTACGGAGATTCTCAAAATCAGACTTGATTTTTTGTCTCTGAGCTTCTCTCTCATCCTAGAGTTAAGAAAAGTATGATCAAAAGCATAAACAAAATGTTCAGTGTAGATGCAATGGAGTCTTTCCCAGTCTTTAAAAAGAATGAAAATCATACCCATGCTACAACAAGGATGAAATTTGAATATTTTTTGCTAAGTAAAATAAACCCAAAACAAAGAGACAGGTATTATACATTTGGCATATCAGGAAGCACAGTCGTTCAATTCATAGAGATAGAAAGCAGAATAGTGGCTGCTAAGTGGTAGGAGAAAAGAAAGAATAAGGAATTACTGTTTAATGGGATCAGAATGTTACTTTGGAAGATAAAATTACTTCTTGGAATGGATTTGGTGATAGCTACACTTAGTGCCTAAGAGTTGTACACTTCAAATGGTAAAAATGGCAAATTTTATGTAATGCATATTCTACCCCCCACAAAAAAAGAAAATACGATCAGTTACTACTCGTGATATACTTTTTCAATGCATCATTCAAGTTGGAAGAATGTCTTAAAGGTTCCTGCTGGCACACAGAAATGCTGGAAATATCGACCCTGTCTTCGCTGTAGTCACCCAATTAATTTTCTTCTTCTAAGCATGGAGACTAAGAGAAAGTCCTTGATTCTTCTGGACAGGAGGAAGACCTACTGAGGCAAATTTTGTTATGGTTAACTGAGAAAACCTCATCTACCAGCCAGGTCATCTTAATCATCCCTATGGATAAGATACCAGAAAGTAATGATGTATGTTACTGGACGTCAGTTTCATTTGAGGAAACACAGACTCACAATTTCCAAGAATGCTTTCCAAATTTCTGCCTTGCTCCCGTGACCATGATGTCATGATAGAAGTTCACCGATTAAGGAAGAAGTACAAGTTCCGTGAAGGAAACTGGTGCAGACTTAACCCTTCCTCTGAAGGGGTTATATTTCAGCTACACTCAAGGTTTTCCCTTCCCCAAGGTCCCAGAAATGAGGGCTATAAAAGTACTGTCTGGAAGTCTAAGTTCTACATCCACAACCAAAAAAGGCAGAGGGTAAAAAAGACCTGAAAGAGGCAGAGTGACTTACAGGCTTTTTGACTTGAACTGCTACTTCATGGATTCCAAAGACATTTCCACAAAAGGAACGTGTCTCTGATAATGTGGAGCCTGGTAAACCATGGAAATGGTCTGGAAGCCTTCAGCCTGCAGGTGCAAGTGTGCATATTCTTGAAACAGCTAAGGCATTCTTTGTCAAATTGTTCCTGATGAACCCAACCTGGAGAGCCCCTATTTTCTGAAAGTTCTCAAAAAGTTTCTGTACTTGTTAGGCCAAGAGCCAGATCCTACATGTTGGATTTTATCTTCCTAATCTGGTGCAGTGAGAATAAACTGGGATTCTGCTTTGTCATCTTCTGTGTCTAAACTCTAGAACTGAAAATAGCTGCAGATCAAGGAAGTCAGATTCTCTCCTGCCATTTAGTTATTTGCATTTCCATAAATGCTTTCCGATTCATGTATTCTTCTTGGAATTGACTCAATTTTGTCACAGCATTCTGAAGCTTTTCCTGAGGGAAAATTCAATTTGATTGTTCATTAGACTCTAATAGGAATCTCAGCAGTCCAAGATGTGTTAAGTTCACTGTAAATATTTATTGAGTTGTTTCACTTTGTTAGGGAGTCTGCTGAGGGCTGTATGTCAGGTAACACTAATCTTATTAGCAACTTTAAGCAGTTGGTAGGATTTTCAACTTCTTTTCTCCACTGTGGCAAAGGAGGTTTGGAAGGGTTTGAGTAACACACCCAAGTGGGTATAGATGGCAGGTAGTGGGGCTGGGATTCTTTCTGTGCTGACCAAGGCCTGAGGCATGTTCCTCCCTCACCCACCTAGTGGTCAGGGAAGCACTGCACACAGACATGGTAAACACTGAAAACAAGATCTTAGAGAATAATGTGCTGTACAAACATAATAAATTCCATTGACACACATAGAACTTTGTGTGTATTGTGGGTCAGAAAGGAAAGACCAGGATGCCAGCTGAAGTTATTAGAAACAATTAATACAATTAATTAATTAGTTTGCATTTTGAAAAATGGCAACATGAAACCAATTTAATAGGACTTGTCATACCTGACAAGGTTTTTAGGTTATTTTTCAAAATGGTTTCTCATACTTTCCTTGAAAGCAATGTGATGACCCCAACTGTTCATTTTCTTAAATAGTAAAAAAAAAATCATCTCCTGTCCTCTCCAGACCCAGAAAGTACTTTAATGAATTCTGTAGCACTCTCAAGAAAGGGTTCCATCCAACTGATTTGGCAAAGCTGCATTGCTCTGGGTATATGCCAAAAGGTATTCTAAATTTTACATATTTTAATGTCAATCCCTGGATATATGTGTTTCAGAGGAATTAAACCGACTTCTTTCATTCCCATTTACAGATGGGAAAACCAAGGAATTAAAACATTAAATAACTGACCCCAAAATGTCCATCAGTGAAGGGCCAGACCTAAGATTTCAACCTCAGTTGTCAGCCTCTGAGGGTGAGAACCACAACCTGCACTGCTCCCTTCCCTACTGCTTGGTTGGAGAGAGAAACTCAAACAGCTCCATGGAGTCTCAGGAGTGCCCCATATGCTGAACAAGGGGTTAGGAGTGATGTGACCTTAGAAAGGTAGTCGAACCTCCATAGAAGCCCAGGTCTTCATCATGAGGGATGAACCAGGAGCTCACACTGTGCACATGATCCTCAGATTCTTGAATCAAGGGTTGGGGCAGCAGGACTAAGCCAGCTCCTTCCTTCATCCCTCCATAGGCTCTTTCATTACAAGCTCTCAGAAGATGCGTAGAAATTGCCTAGAACTTCTCCCTCTCTGGGACCCCACATAGTAATCATTTGCAAATTTGCAACTCTTGCTCTGGAACCCAGTTTAAAACTGCTTGCCACTTCCCTATCTTAGAGGGATAATACAAATTTTATTATTTGACATTCCTTTTATTTTAGGAGTATCTGGGTGAGTTTTTTCAATCTTGGACCTCTCATTCTTCACATGAAAATCTCCAGTGGGAAGTGGCCTAGGATTTAGATTAGGAGCTGACCCTCAGGTCCTGTGGCCTGGCTACCTTTCTATTCCCTCTACCTTTCTGTCTGCTGCACAGGCCCTGGGGCCTGGTCATGGTGAGGCTGGAGCCCCAGTGGCTATCCCTTTATTGGTGCAGTTTTCTCTGCCTGAATGCCCTGCAAGGGCTAAGTGTATGTGTCTTCAGGAGCCACCTCTAGGATGCACCACCCTCTCCTTCTGGCCCCTCTCACCACCCAACCCCCTGGCTCTAGCTAGCATTTTGATGATTTGTCCTCTATACTGAACTTTAAAGTAGCTACACAGTTGGATCTCTGTTCCTTCCTTTTTCAGATCCAATTGCAGAGACTGATTTATTGTGTTTTCCAACAGTACAAGGTGTGAAGCAACATAATATGCAGGTGTATGTTTCAGCATGTCCCAGAGCAGAAAGAAGCCCATGGTAACACCGAAGATGGGGACAGGAGTCTGACCGTCTTGCTGAATGTCAAGATGGATGGTCTGGACTGAATTCAGCAAAGATCCATCACAAAGTATATTTCAGAAGAATATCATGCTAAAAGCTGTGTTCCCGGGTCATCATCTTAGGATTTGGGGTCAATATGCTCAGGTCTTACAAGCACTATGTGGCTGGTCCCTGCCTAAGCCCTGCTGAGGGCACACTCACCTTGTAGCCCCGGCACACATCCTCCACCAGCACCGTGACGTGCCCTTGGTGCTGCGGTCCCCAGCACCAGCAGATGAGCTGGCTGTCTTCTTCACAGAAAAGATGGAGCCACTGTCTGTGGGGCTCACACACCAGCTCATCCTCTGCATCCTCCATCTTCTTGATGAGCTCTATGAGATTTCCCAGCTGTTTATTGGACCAGATGCTGTCTATATGAAATGAGGCCTGACACAGAGGACAGAACATCCTCTGCCCCTGACTTCTGGGTACCTGGGAAAGGTACTGCTCCATGCATACCTGGCAGTAGCTGTGTCCACAGCTGATGCTCACTGGCTCTGTCATCAGGTTTAGGCAGATGGAGCAAGTAGCCATCTCTTTCATCATTTTGGTCCTACTGGATGGGGCCACGACTTTTCCTGAGAAGCTCCGATATTGGATCTACAGATGGAGATGAAGCATCCAACAATTCCAGAGGAATGGAAATAGAGCTGATGTGAGCCTGTGTACAAGGAGGTGGCTGCTCCTGGCTCTACAGGTCTTGCACACTTCTCTTTGGAAAGAGGAAATAAGTTCGAGTTGAAAACATGTACAAACAGCTAGTTGTGTTTTCTAATATGGTTGCCATTAGGAATGTAGACATTTAAGTTTAACTTAATGAATATTTGATAAAATTGAAAGTTCCATTTCTCTGGCTAGTTTCCTTCTCAGCTAGCTTCTGATACTTTAAGTGCTCAATGGTCTACCATGACTGGTGTTTATAGGACAGCCCAGCCACACACCATTCCATCATGTTGTGAAGTTTCCTGGGACCAGTGCTGATAGAGACCAGGCTTTCTCACAGACTCTGCAGCAGAAGCCACCACTCAATGAGGCAGAGTGAAACTCTTCCCATTCTAGTGAGCATCAGAATCCTTTAGCAACAGAATTATCTCATTATACCTGGTGGTAACATTCAGCCACACTATCTATGAATGCTAGGGCTTGTGTTTAGATGTCCCCGCCAAAGCCTCATGCAGTCATATATGGGGCTTTTCACAGTTGGCTGGATCTAGAGTGTGTGAGGCTGGGATTAATTCATGGTGCAGTGCTAAGATGAAGGGCACTAGGATTAAGAGTGTGAATGTTACCTGTCCTAAGTAGCCTGGATAAGATATAAGGGACAGAAAGAGACTGGTCGCTATTGCTTGCTTGGTTTTGCTGTCTTCTGCCTGCCAAGAACTGTTTCTCCTCTGTGATGCCCCTCTGCCATGCCACCCTGCCTTGGGGCAGCTGCCCATGGACTGAAACCTCTACAATTTATGAGCCAAATAAACCTTTCCTCCCTTAACTGTGGGTATCGAGTATTTTGCCTCAGCAAGGAGAGAAAAGTAATTAAGACAATGGAAGATTCTATTTAGACAGTCAAACTGGACTCCACCTTAATCTCACACCCCACATAGGCCAGAAGACATTATGTCATAAAGCATCAGTGGAGATGCAAATCAGGTGGAGACAAAGGTAAACAAGGCATTGAAAACACTCTTTGTTTCCCTTCCCTGAACTGAAGAAAAGAGAACTGGTGAGAGGCTGAGGGAGGGGAGTTGTGTCCTGGAGCCTACTCACTGCTGGGGAGAGAGCACTGGACAGCTAGTTAGGTTACTGTTTCTTGCCCAGACCAGGTACTTGATCCAGAAGTACAGGTCATAGGAACACGGGGAAGATGATAAAAGATATGGAGAGTTAGGCCTCTGCTGCATACAAGGTGCTGGACACCCTTGTATCCACCACTAAGAACCTGACAAGCAGAGGCAACAGAGAAATCATCGTCTCTCTTCCCTTGTCACCTATTGTGAGTGCTTCTGTCAACTCATCCTTGTCCTCATAGCAACTGCAGCACACCCACAGGAGATTGTATGGGAGGAAAGCAGTTGAGGGGAGGAGTTTGTACAGTGAATTTTCTTTTGATAAGACTGTGCTTTTATTTAAAAACAGGAATTCAACTAAAGTTACCAGATAGACCATTTTTCTCTTATAACCAGGAGCAGTCTCTTGGGACCACACAGGATTTCTTCCACAGCCTCCCATTCTTTGACCCTCCACTTCTGCCAGAGGTACACTAGGCCTCTTCTCTGTTATGGGCACTGAGATTCTGGGGACCTGGGCCTCCCCTCCTTTAAGACCACAGGACCCCACCCTGCATCTCACTCACCTTATATTCTGGATCTTCTGAGATATGGTGTGGATTTTGGTGAAGGTGAAATCAAAGCGTGAGAGCTGTGAGCAGATTCTCAAGCATTTCTAGAGGTAGGGCCCTGCTGGCAGGAAATTGTCTCTCTGCCCCACCAACTCACAAGACACAGATCTTTGCTCCCTCCTTGGCCTGGACTTTTCAGAGACACTCCCTGCCTGTTGCCCTTCTGCAGAGTTTTGACTTCCTGGAATCTAAAAGTAAACTTGCAAGTAAATTCAGAAGTAAAACTCCTGAGGTAGGTGGGGCTAATGAATCAGGACCAATGAGGGTGCTTGTGTTGTTAAAGGGAGGAAAAACATAGGAAAAACAGCCTCTTTCAAAGCAGCAAACAAGGGACATATTAATAACCCAGAAAACTCCCTTTGATCCCAGCACAGGCTGTGTTGGAGCAGGAGGCCTGCAGAGGACCAGGTCACAGCTCTGATGAGAGAATCTTTCTCTTCTTTCCTCAACCCTCCTGGAGTCTATGGCCTCCTGACCTGTAATATTTTTAGCTCCTAGTGGGTGATTTATGATTTGCTCACTGCTCTGATGGGGTGAAAAGGGGAATCAGCACAGTGGACTCCTTAGCATCACGACATCCTCCCAAGCTAGCCTTCCATTCCTTTCTATCCTGTGCTAGGTCTCCTTTTCCTCTTCGTGGTCCCATGCAGGATTTGTCCCTCCCTATGTCTGCTGCTCCCCATGGGTGTTTAGCGTGAAATAGTCAGTATGCCCATGTGGCACATTTTGGAGGGCGTTTCCTGAACTCTGTCAAAACAGATTCATATCATATGTAACCCTGAGGAAATGAAGACTCTAAGCATTGCAAAACCAGAATGCTTTTGTGCTACGTTGAACAGAAAGAGGCCACTGTGGAAAAGGAACTAAAATGTGAGGAGGCCGAAGGATGATTAGAATTACTCTAAATGCATTCTGTTTATAGCACAATTCTCTCTGACTTTGGGTCTTTGGTGTTAAGAATATTATTTTTTCTCCTGCTGTAGGCAAAGGAAGTTCTCTTGTGGGAATTATATACCCTTTTTTTTTTCTTTTTGGGTCAAACTCAGGACCTTGCATTTGCCAGGCAGGCAGCAGCACCGCTGAGCTAAATCCCTGGCCCTATATACCCTATTTTTAAGGCAAAGAAGGGAGATCATAATGTTCTTACATCTGCTGTTTTCCACAGGCCTTTAACTCAAACTGGCTATACCTCTGGGTGTGAATATTTCAGGATGCCCTTGACTGACTTAGTTGTTTTCTTAGGTAGCTAATCATCCCTTACCTCCCCATTGTAAATTTTCTTCACCTACTTCACTCTTAGAGGAATGTGCTGGCTTGTCCTCATGAATATTTCCATTTAGGGCGGGGATGTGTGATGTCTCATTCTACCTAGAGAGACAGAAAGAATAAAGGCAACTTATACTGAGAACAGAGTAAACCTAGAGCACATGAAAGACAATGAATGCTAGTATTTGGATGAGTTGAATTGAGATGAGTTGAGTTGAGATTTTTTTGGAGACAGGGGTCTCATTCTATATACAAGCTGCCCTTGAATTCTCTATGTAGCCCAGGCTGGGCCCCAAATTACACTCCTCCTGTTTCAGCCTCCAGAGTATTGGGATGACAGGCATGAGCCACCTCATCCAGGTTTCAGATTTGAGTTTGGTTTTTGTTCCTGATGTAGACACTTGCAGATATGAATTTCCATCTTAATACTGATGTCGAATTGTGTCTCATAAATTTTTGCATCTTGTGTTTTCATTTTTCTTCATCTTGAATTGTTTTCTAATTTTCCTTGTGCTTTTTTTTCCTTTGGGCCATTGATTGATTGATTAGTTGGAAGTATGTTGCTTAATTTCTCTATATTTAAATTTTCTATTTTTCCTTTTGTCATCTTCATTCCTTATATGCTCTACAGCACTGATCCTTCCAAAGCTACGAAGACTTCTTTCATGGCCTCATAAGTAGTCTGGCCTGGAGAGGGTTCCCTGTGCACCTGAGATACTTGCAGGTGTGTATTCTGTTCTTGCTGGGTAAAGTGTTCTGTAGATATGTTAGGGTTAGGTTATTCATCCTGCCAATATTCCTCTTTTTCAATGTACCTACATTTAACATATTCCTGATAAAGCATGATCTACATCAGATATGTATGTATATATTTATGTCATTTCTGTTTTTTTCCATTATTGCATTATTTTATGTTAAACAGATATTTTTATGTACTGTTTTAATTACTTTCTCATTTATTTTTGGCACATTTTCCTGATTTTTTTTTCTAGTGGTTGTTTTTAGGATAACAACTAACATTTTACAAGAATTAGTTTGGATTAATACTAACTTAATTTTAGTAACATCTAAAACTGTTGCTGCAATATAGTTCCATTCACTCTCTCTTATTTTGCCCTGTTATTATCATATAAATTATATCCTTATACATTCCATGCCAAGGAACACAAATTTATAACTATTTTATTTTGTGATATTTTAAGGGAGACAGCAGGAAAGAAAATTGTGAATTTGAAAGTACATTTATGCCATCTTTTATATTTGCCTAAATAGCAGTCTTTCCTGGTACTTTTATTTCTTCCTGTGAATTCAGGTTCCTGTCTTGTGTCCTTTTATATCAGCCTGGAACATTTTTTGTAATGTTTCTTATAGAGTAAGACTTATTATGATGGACTCATTTTTATTAGTGAATGTGTTAATTTCTTCATTTTAGAAAGAGTTTTTCTGGATATAGAATTTTTGGTTGACTTTTCATTTTGACAAATTTCAGTATGTCATTCAAGGCCCCTGATCTCTGTAGTTTCTGATGAGAGGTCATTGTTAGTCATTTCAAGGATCATTTGTATGTAAATAGTTGCCTCTTTCTTTTTGTCTTCATGATTCTTTATCACTGATCATCTGATTATGATACTTCCAGGCAAGGATCTCTATGAGTTTTTCCCAGCTGAAATTCATTGAGCTCCCTCAATGTAGTTTAGTGCTGTTAAACAAATTTATAGAACTTCCAGCCTCTCTTTCTTCAAATACTCTTCTTCTCCTCCTCTTCCAGTTCCTCTGGAATCCCAGTGTGCACATGATGGTATATGCTGATTGTAGCCCACAGATCCCTGAGCCTCTACTGCTTTCTCTTCTTTCTACTTCCTGTTCTTCTCAGTAGAGAATCTCCCTGACCTATTTTCCAGTACACTGATCTTTTCTGTGACCTGCTCAAATTGGCCTTTGAAATCTCTAGTGAATTTTCATCACTCATTACACTTTAATCTCCACAGTGTTTATTTGGGAGAGGAACACTGACAAATTATGATATCAGCATAGCCCTATCATGAAACAAGTGTTCAATAAAATCTAACTACCTTTAGGTGCACTATTTACTAACTGCTTCTGGGCCCACCCAGGGAAACTATTCACCCTCAACCTCAGGTCAACCTTAGAGCCAGGGTCAGTGAATCACTCATCCATGTCAGGTAGATTGAAAAACTGCCTTCCATAATCTCATGACATGGATGTACAAATTATTTCCAATGGATGCTGAGACTTCCTCTGAGGAAGTGATTTGCCAGGGCAGTCATTCTGAATACTTCCAGTTAGTTTCCACCCAGTGTTATTCTCTTTATTCCTATGCTGTTCCACCAGCCTCTGAGTGGTTCTTGCATCCTCCGTTTGATCATCCTGAAAGTTTGTCCTCCTGGTTATCTCACACTTTGATGTTACTAAATCTCCTTTCAGCCTTCTTGTCCAGAGGTCCAGCTTTTCTATTGCTTTCATTTTCATCTGCTCCTGTCCAGGCCATCACTATATCCTGCAGGACTAAGAGAAGAGGGAGTCTGGAAATCAACAACTACCATGCATCTAGTACTTTCTGATAATGTTGGCCATGTTAACATATCTGCCTTTCCAACATACATGCAAGTACAATCAAGGACACATCAGCACACAGCCACATACCACTCATACCACATACCATTAGGCAGATGTGAACACATCTCCTAAGACACATGTTTATTGCAAGTCAGAGAGTCATTCACTTATCCCACGTAACTATTCCTGAAGCTGTCTTAGAGATCTGGGACCCTTCAGTGAACAATATTCTCATGGAACTTTGCCCTTGTGGAACATTATGCTCATAGAAAAAGCAGAGACTAAACCACATAAACAAGTGAGACATGCCCTGGAAAGAAAATAGAGCTATTTGGAAGGGGTCCGTGAGTGAGGGAGGGGCACAGGTGTGAGCAGGTTAGAGAGGGCTGAGTGAGAAGGAAACCTGAAGGAGTCCAAGGACGGTGCTCAAGGGCCTCCTGGGCCATCTCTTCCCAGTGAGACACTCAGTCCAGGAGCCTCTTTCAGGAGCCTCTAGTGACCTTCTCCCCACTAAATCTCCTCTCAGCTTTCTTGCCCAGAGGTATAGCTCTTCTATTGCTTCCATTTTCATATGCTCCCTGTCCTACATCCTGCAGGCCTGTGCTGAGTCACAGGGATTATCCTGGGTTGTTACTGTCTTCTTGTCCTCCCTGCTATAAAGGAGGCTGTCTTTCCTGTGTTTTCCCTTCCTTTCAAAACAGAGGCCTCTCATTGGCCCTGAATCTCTGGCTCCACCTCTCCCAGTATTTTCACTTCTGAACTGACTCCGTGGGAGTTACTTCACTTACATTTCAGGAAGTGGGAACTCTTGAAAGGACTGGCAACAGGTAGGGGGTGTCTTCCTGACAGACTCAGGCCAGGGTCTTCTGGGTGGAGAATGGAGCAGGACTAGTGTATGTGAGAGTGTGGTGGAAGATGAGAGAGGGTTTCCTGACAGCACAGTACCTGCTGTCTACCCCAGGAAATGCCCGAGAATCTGCTCACAGCTCTCACTTTTCCTCTGCTTTTACTTTCACCAGAAGCCACACCACTTCTCAGAAGATCCAGAATATAAGGTGACCAAAGCTCAGAATGGACACCCATGGTCTTAAGGCAAGGCCCTGGTCCTAGGAGCCCAACACCCAGCAGAGAGGGTTCTAGTATACCACTGCAGGAAGTGACTACCAAAGAATAGAAGCCTGCAGAAGAAATCCTATGTGACTCCAAGAGACTGGTCCTATTTAGACTAGAGCTGCTGATTTGTATAAGGCTATTAGAGTTCCTGTTTTTAAACCTGGGTATAGCCATTGGAAAGTAAGTCACCATCCAAACCTCCCCCCATGCTGCTCTCCCCTAAA